GAGGACTGACCCTTGGGAACACCACTAGTTACCCCTCTCCATTCTGAGAATTTACCATTAATTCCTACCCTTTGTTCCCTGTCTTTTAACCAATTCTCAGTCCATGAAAGGACCTTCCCTTTTATCCCATGGCAGCTTAATTTACATAAGAGCCTTTGGTGAGGGACCTTGTCAAAGGCTTTCTGGAAATCTAAGTACACTATGTCCACTGGATCCCCCTTGTCCACATGTTTGTTGACCCCTTCAAAGAATTCTAATAGATTAGTAAGACACGATTTCCCTTTATAGAAACCATGTTGACTATTGCTCAACAGTTTATGAGTTTCTATGTGTCGGACAATTTTATTCTTAACTATTGTTTCGACTAATTTGCCCGGTACAGACGTTAGACTTGCCGGTCTGTAATTGCCGGGATCACCTCTAGAGCCCTTTTTAAATATTGGCGTTACATTAGCTAACTTCCAGTCATTGGGTACAGAAGCCGATTTAAAGGACAGGTTACAAACCTTAGTTAACAGTTCCACAATTTCACATTTGAGTTCTTTCAGAACTCTTGGATGAATACCATCTGGTCCCGGTGACTTGTTAATGTTAAGTTTATCAATTAATTCCAAAACCTCCTCTCGTGACACTTCAATCCGTGACAGTTCCTCAGATTTGTCACCTACAAAAGCCAGCTCAGGTTTGGGAATCTCCCTAACATCCTCAGCCGTGAAAACTGAAGCAAAGAATCCATTTAGTTTCTCTGCAATGACTTTATCGTCTTTAAGCGCTCCTTTTGTATCTCGATCATCAAGGGGCTCCACTAGTTGTTTAGCAGGCTTCCTGCTTCTGATGTACTTAAACATTTTATTACCACCTTTGGAGTTTTTGGCTAGCTGTTCTTCAAACTCCTCTTTGGCTTTTCTTATTACATTCTTGCACTTAATTTGGCAGCATTTATGCTCCTTTCTATTTGCCTCACTAGGATTTGACTTCCACTTTTTAAAGGAAGTCTTTTTATCTCTCACTGCTTCTTTTACATGGTTGTTAAGCCACGGTGGCTCTTTTTTAGTTCTTTTACTGTGTTTCTTAATTTGGGGTATACATTGAAGTTATTATACAGGTGGGGATTTAAAAAAAAAAATGCATGCCTAACTTATGGAATTCTCTGATACAAGATAGAGGCCAAGAACTATTAGTATTCAAAAGAGATACTGACATTTATATCAATAATATCCAACATGCTGTGCAGAGGTGATACTTCAAAGTTACCTTGGATAATGTGTGTATCTTCAGTAACTACTTAAGATTTGTAGTTAGGCAATACCTGAAATACTGAAACTGGCCATCATAAGCTCAGTGCTATGAAAGGAATCCAGCTTGATAGGGAGGTTTATAAATTAGTTAAATCTCAGTCTAATCTTAGGTAAAATTGGCATGTTTTAGTACTATCACCATAGATGCAGAGGATGAGAAGAAATTTAAGTAAATAGCAATGTCAGAATGATAAAGATGTATGAAGCTAGTATGGATTGTCCTTCGTATCTGCATCATGATTGGCAAGAACAATTCACTAGCATACTCACACCATCAAAGATACTGTTCAGCACTTGCTCTACTCCATGTACCTTTTCATGTTTCTAATCTAAAGGCAATTCTTTAGACTGTTCTCTAAACCCATTACACTTCTGTATTCAGCATACAAATATGAAAAGCTGATCTGAATTGTATAGGGAAATCATTTCCATGAACACCTAGAGCAGGGGTCGGCAATCTTTGGCACGCGACTCGCCAGGGTAAGCACCCTAGCGGGCCGGGCCAGTTTTATTTACCTGCTGACGCGGCAGGTTTGGCTGATCGCAGCCCCCACTGGCCGCGGTTCACCGTCCCAGGCCAATAGGGGCAGCGGGAAGTGGCGCAGGTGAGGGATGTGCTGGCCATGGCTTCCCACCGCCCGTATTGGCCCGGGATGGCGAACCGCAGCCAGTGGGGGGCCGCCTGCCGCGTCAGCAGGTAAATAAAACTGGCCCAGCCTGCCAGGGTGCTTACCCTGGCGAGCCGCGTGCCAAAGGTTGCCGACCCCTGACCTAGAGAACTTAAGTTGATTACTTTAAATGAAAACATGGAAACCCCTTTCAACTACTTTTCTTAACATTCACAAATGCAGAATGAACCTAAAATCAAGTAAATTATGCCTAAAATCCAAAATCAATCACATACAAGCACAACTGTTTTTTAGGATATAGACAACTGCCTGTGTTACATATGCATCTGCTAGGCCAGGTCACTGGTTCAAGTTGTCTGGATACAGTCTTAAATAAGAGCTGATCCATAAGTCTGTCACATTCATATTTGCCTATCATCTTAATATATGGAGATATACCTCTCTCAGAACTGGAAGGGACCCTGAAAGATCATCAAGTCCAGCCCCGTGCCTTCACTAGCAGGACCAAGTACTGATTTTGCCCCAGCTCCCTAAGTGGCCCCCTCAAGGATTGAACTCACAACAATCTTCAAGTGCAGATTTCTAATATTAATACCATGACTTAGTCCAGATAATTCTTGTTCTGTCACCTAAATCTAGTTTGTCATAAGTGTTTGGGTCATGTTCTTTATAATGTTATGACTAACAAATATGCTCCCATACACTAAACCATGTTGTGATTTTGTTCCATACTGTAAGAGTGAATCTTCAGAAATTCAGTATAGTGTCGGGTCAGGTTTCAGTCTATTCATATTTTAAACACCAGTAAGACAATGTACACATACAAAACCTTTTTTCACAAAGGAGCCTCCATTTACACTGTTTTAGGGCCCAATCCAACATTCACTAAAGTCCAGCTGGCAATGAATCAGGCCACTAGTGAAACTGCATGTACATTGGGTTTCCCAACCAGCTTCTGAACTCTTACCCTGTAAGTGACTAGGCACTAGCTGGGTAACAGAGGACAAGCGGAGGCACCACAGAAGTGGGGAGGGTTAGGGAAGAAGAGACATTATAAGAGTTACTTTTTTCCACAACATGGGGCACATAAAATGTATCAGTGTTTTGCACATGTCGATGAGGAGGGTAAAGGCAATGGATCACTTCACTTCCCACTGAAATGCAGCCACAAACAGGGTGGAATAGCTGTCATTCCATATCAGTGATAGTACTCAGTTTGTGTGGGGAGAAAAGAGAGAAAAGAGAGAAAAGAGAAATCTACCCAAGACTACAAGTTAAATAGAAGCAGATAGGTTGAATGTCACACAATTGGAATTCTGACCAGAACACAAAGGCAAAAAAAAGTTACTCTTAAACACACCAACTAGAAGTAGAGGCCTGGGGGTCTTTATAATCCATAAGAATTGGAGCAATTGTGATAATTCAGGAATATAAATTAAAGTACTTTAAGAACCACTGCAATTTGTCAGAACAAATAACCCTCCTAGGTCTGGAGCTGTTCTGTTTTTTTGCACTATTGATAAGTACAGTACAATGCAGGTGCCTTGTGCTCTCCCATCTCTCAGATCCCTAAATTTCAAAGCTATTTTAACTATATTAGGTCAAAGTGACTTTCATTTTGCAAAGTCTAACAGACAGTGGCAGTGCATCAGGGAACTACTAAAGAAAAAGCACGATGCCAAGATCACCTCTTGAAATAGGTTAAAAAATAATTCACTAGTAATGGGTAGATTTTAAAAAAATAGCTGTTATTTCAGTTTTCTGTGACAGCCAATCTTCTGATATAGTCATATATACTGTATAAGGCTACACTAAATATTGTTATATATAGTAACTGGCAGTAGTTTAACAGCATTACAATTCAGTACAGGAAGTGAACCTCACTGTAACCAAAAGACTGAAAGGTAAATGCCATTTTAGTGACTGTCCAGAAAGTAACAGGGTTCTGGAGCCTTTTAGTGATGTTTGATTTTCAACTGAAGTCAATATTTTAAGATGCAAAATTTTAATGGGAATGTTCTAATCTAGCAGTGGGCAGAGGAGTTTGAATGGCTCGTCTTCCAGAGCTCAACCACATCTTGATAACAGAAAAAACAAAGCAAGATTTCGTTTTCAGACACTCAACATTAAATAGTTTCACTTCACAATAGAATGCTATGCTCCCATTCTGCCAGTGGAACAAATTATGCCACTTGGCAACAAGATCACTTGCCAGTGAGTCAGCTCAGAAATGCCAACTTTCAAACAGCTTGAAGTGTGCATGCTGAGAATTGCTTCCGACCATGTGAGCTTTCAGAACAAAGAACTGATACATGACCATAGCCCTCTGTTAAAAGGAAGTCAGAGTTTAACCCATCAGCCTTTTTAAATTCAGCATACAAGTTCTTGCTGTAGCATTAAGCAATAATATGAAAGTTAAAGCTGGAAATTAAACTTCACATCTTAGGGACCTGAGTTTCATTATTCATGCAGCTTTACCTCATTTTGCCAAAGGACACCTGAAACATACACACATGTGTTTCAAAGGATAGGTGGAGCCTGAAGTCTGAATGTTCTATCAAAGGGAGGAAAATGTAAACAAATTCCAATTCCCAGGTTACTAAAGCTGTCAACGCAGTTGTCTTGGTAGCACTTCTGGCCAGAGCCCTAGGAAATCATGTTATTTAAAAAGAACCACAAGACTTCCCTTTCCTGACTTCTCGGACAGGTTTGCCACTGGCTCATGTGTTCCGATTCTCTAAAAGTACAGCATGTCTTTCTTCACATATTCCAAAGCACTGGCTGCCTTCTGACTGCCTGCTAGCTGTTCTAAGTGAAAACTTCTGTAGCTAGGTCAGCCATGTCAGAAGGGCAGAACCCCTGAGGAGTCCAGTGCCAGCAGCCAGAAGCCTGAAATTTTGCAGAGAAAAGTACAGGGAAGTTTATCTCTAGAAAACGTCAAGCCTGTTTTTTGATAGCGAACTGTCCTTGTCTGGCATTCTTCCCATCAGTAAGAACCAGCATCATAAAACACATTTGTACTATTAATACAACTTACACATTACAAATCATTGTATTTGATTAAAAATTACTTAATGTCCTCAGCATACTTTTCCAATATACAAACTATAGCAGGTCACAGAATAAGTATTTTAGAAATTCCTAAACCCACAGTTACATGAGACTCAATCCTTACATTCACAACACCCATCTATGAGCAAAGGCCAGAACTTAGCCCTACTGGTGTCAGTAAGAGTTTTGTCATTGATCTCAGTGACACCAGGACTTCACCCTTTGGTAAACAGGTAGCAGACCAAGACTAGTCTTCTAAAACCACCAGTTTCTAACACAAAAATAAATAAATGGAAGTCTTAAAGTTAAATATCTGCAGTTCCTTTTTAAATGGATGCACTGAATTCTCACTGAAGCATGCATATCACATAGGTTTGTGTACTTTCAATTGGCACAGTGCACACGTTTAGAAATAGGTAAGAGCTACTAGCCCATACAGACTTTTAAAAAGAATTTTAAGTAGGAGCTGCACTTTATGGAGATGTCAAAGTATGAGTCACTTCCTCAGTTGTTACCTGTGTTATCACCAGCACCTTACATTATTGCGACTTAAGACTTTAAGAGCCTATAAAAGAAATTTACAAAAGCAAGGAAATTTGGATTTCAGGATGAAAATCCTGGTGTGACAATCCATCCTTAACTCACCGTGTCGATATTGTAGGGGTCTCCAAACAGCAAACAGTATGCGCTCCATCTCGTCTGAAAAATCTAGGCACAATGGGGGTTGAGTTAAGGACAGAGTGTCAGACCTGATATTTAGCCTTTAAGAGAATCTATTTAAGCTTCAAAAATTTACTTTAGAGGATGTTAAAAACACATTCCACATCCCTGGAGCATGATACACATATTTACACTGTTATTTCCTTGTTTGGGTCACTGAGGAGTCAAATTTGTTGTTTGTTTTTTTTAATTAAAATTTGTCTTTTTACATTACAGGCATCCTCCAAGGATGCTACAGAAGGTAAATTCTGAGGCCTAAACAGATTAACAGTGTTACCCCTTTAAAAATGTGGTTAGATCAATTACTCTCCCTCCCCACTAACCACACTATGCATCTGCAATGCCCCTTTATTTTTTAAAATGCCAGTTATGGTTTCTTTAAAAGGAAAAAACCCTTGTTTTAGTAGTGCAATTTGAGAGGATATAGTTGCAATTCTCAGATCCCATCTTCACTATCTGGCTTAAGTGGTCTGAGACCCACTGTTCTGCAAATATCTGCCCTACAGTCCCAGGCACAGTGTTGGGATACTATCATAGGTAAAAAGAACAGGAGTACTTGTGGCACTTAGAGACTAACAAATTTATTGGGGCATAAGCTTTTGTGGGCTAAAAACCACTTCATTGGATGCATATTAATATTAAAAAATATATATATAACACACACACACACACACACACACACACACACACACACAGAGAACATGAAAAAATGGGTGTTGCCATACCAATTCTAATAAAACTAATCAATTAAGGTGGGCTATTAACAGGAGGAAAAAAAACTTTTGTAGTGATAATCAGGATGGCCCATTTCAAACAGTTGACAAGAAGGTGTGAGTAACAGTAGGGGAAAAATTAGCACGGGGAAAGTTTTTACTTTATGTAATTACCATACTCACCAGCAACCACACACCACAGAACAAAAACACTAACCTAGTCTTGTTAGAGTTGGTATGGCAACACCCATTTTTTCATTACATACATCTCTCTTCCTACTGTATTTTCCACTGCATGCATCCAATGAAGTGGGTTTTAGCCCAAGAAAGCTTATGCCCAAATACATTTGTTAGTCTCCAAGGTGCCACAAGGACTCCTTGTTCTTTTTGCTGATACAGACTAACATGGCTACCACTCTGAAACCTGTCATAGGTAAATGACTTCTCTTCCTCCGTCGCCATCAGAAGGGGACAGGGAGAGTTTCTGCTGTTGAAGGAAGCAGTGGTACATCCAAGCTGCTAATTGAAGAGGAAGCGCCAATGGTGCTGACATAAATGAAAAGCGTTGGAAGAGCAAGTTCAGTGCAAGAGGCACATGGACCTTATGCTGGAAGGTACCTTTAATATCATGAGATTAGGGCTCTACCAAGTTCATGGTCATGAAAAACACGTCACGTACTGTGAAATCTGGTCTCCCCCCGTGAAATCTGGTCTTGTGTATTTTTATCCTATATGATACAGATTTCACGGGGAGACCAGCGTTTCTCAAATTGGGGATGCTGACCCAATAGGGAGTTGCAGGGAGGTTGCAAGGTTATTTTAAGGATGGTTTGCAGTATTGCCACCCTTACTTCTTGGCGGCCGGAGAGCAGCGGCTGTTGGCCAGGTGCCCTGCCCTGAAGGCAGTGCCCTGCCAGCAGCAGCACCACAGAAGTGAGGGTGGCAATGCCACCCTTATTTCTGCCTTCAGAGCTGGGCTCCTGACTAGCAGCTACCGCTCTCCAGCTGCTCAGGTCTGAAGGCAGGGCTGTCACCAACAGCAGTGCAGAAGGGTAGCAGTACGGCAACCCCTCTACAATAACTTTGTGACCAACCCACAACTCCTTTTTGGGTCAGGATCCTTACAATTACAACTATGACATTTCCAATTTTAACAGCTGAAATCATGAAATTTACAATTTTTAAAATCCTCTGTCCGTGAAATTTACCAAAACGGACTGTGAATTTGGTAGGGCCCTACGTGAGATGAATGATAGCATCAAAAGCCAGCTCACTATTCCAAGGACATCTTCCTTTTTCATGGATTCCTCTTAACGATCTGAAGATCCATCATTGATGAACTGTTTCCCACCCCAAAAATGAGACGCTCTTATCAAGAAGGTTTAGGAGGACAGTTAACCTACCTATGATAAGTGTCCCATGGTAGCTGGGACACTATCAACCCCAGTTTCTGTTCTAGTGGCAACAGAGGAAGAGACACATCCTCCTCTCGGACGCTGTTTCAACTGGGAAGCAAAGCCAGGGCTTGAAAATATGGTTTCAAAATTACACAATAAGACTGAGGCTCTTAAAAAAAAAGCCCACACCAGAGTGGTGTTTCTGATGTGCCTTTAGAATTAAGAGTGAGGGGGTTAGGATAGCAACTTTGAATTTCATTGCTTTTCTGAGAGAGTTAAATCTTTAGGGGTCACTCCTGCTCACTTTACTCTCACAAGCCATCCCAGCAAATTCAGCTGGGACTTGCTCACCTGAGTAAGGCTAGCAGGATCTGGTCCCTAACATTACCATTAGGGGGTATTCAATACCATGCAAGTTGGGGGGGGGGGGTCAGAACTCTAATCTCAAAAGCATTGATACATATATTCATGATTAGTAGTCATAACCCTGTTATGGTCACAGAGCAACACAGAAGCACAATTGTATTCTTACCAACTTTACTGTCCATAGTATCAAGTGCACTAGGCCCTTCAACAGAAACACTAGCTCCTGTCAGTTTAAATCTATTATGCTAACTTTTAACGGGGTTCTACGAAATGTCTAAATAACGCTTTTGACGTCAAAATAAAAGATCCAAAACAGATACATATTTCATAATGTTAAAAAATATCCATAATCATCATCAAAAGAATGATACAGGACCTAAAAGAGAGATCTGAAACTGCCATCAAATGCCTTTATTTTTAGAAAATGGTGTCAAAAGTTAGCCAGCTCTCTCTTGACAAAGACCAAAAAGCAAATCAAGCTAGAAGCTCAAAGTATCACATTAGCAATGAATACCTTCAAAAATTAATCAAATCCACTACCTTCTGAAATAAAATATTAAATGGTACATTGTGGATATGAGTCTGGAGCGAATGTTGCCGATTCACTCGAACATTAAGTGACTGGACGTAACTGTGTCTAGATAAGGCCACAATCCTAGTCACTAAAACCCTATGGATGGAACTGAAGATCTGTTGATTACTAGTGAAAATACATTTGTTTTCTAACGAACACTTGAGCTTGGGTCTGGGTGTCTTAAGCTTACAATTTTAACATGCAAAGCCATTTTTGTTTTAAGACCCACACACGTACTTAGCATTATTTTTGTCCAAAAAAATAGAATAGTTAAAAAAAGAACAAAATGCAACCTGTAGTAAAGAAGCTAGTGTTTCGTGAATGGCAGAATATCACACAACTTCATTTGCATCCTAAACCGTGCTTTAATAAATACACACCATGAAGGAAATATGCAATTTATTCTTTTGGGCTACATCCCTGTCTTCAAAGATTCTTTATCACTGTTTGTGTGACCAGGGTTGATGCTGCCATTTCATGGGGAATTAGCAGTTTCACTAAGATCTACCTCGTGAGATACGATGTGCCCTCGTAACTTCTGTTCAGTAATTTAAGAGGAATGGTATGTAAAGACTGGAGCAGAATTTAAAAACAAGTGCATCCAGTCATTTACTTTCAGCAACACGTGGATCCTGGATTAGTGAACAGTGCACTGAGAGAACATTTTGCTGGATAGACAAGTATTTTTTGTATCAACAGAAACACTCCATGTTTATAAACTGACGTTTCTTTGAATTTTAAATGAAGATTTTGCACTTTAAATTTAACCTCTGGAACTGCACAAAAGAGTGCTACTTAAATTTTAAGTGTAATGACTGACAAGCAAAGAAATTTTTAAAAAGCTTCTTACACTTCAACATTTTTCTGTTGCAGACCAGATGTCTTCTTGCCTGGAGCAGCACCTCTCATCTTGCCCTCTGCATATTGTTCCCTTTAAAAACAAATTCAGCAACAAGATTTTACTGTAAGAGAAGCTATTCTCTTTTCTAAAAGGTAACAGTCCGTACAAAAATTTAGAGAATTTGTAGTGAATGGGTTTAAAGAAAACAGACAGAGGAAGACCCTTCATGACGGGGGGGGGAGGGAAATCCAACTACTTACAAGATTGAACTTCATTATAGTGCTGACCAATCATTTTTACCTACACATGGACACCCAACTCTCTCCTCCCCCCCCCCCCCAATATT